CAGGTCAGCAGATCAGCTGCTCTTGGAGGTACCGAGAACAAAAAGGAAGCTCAGAGGGGACAGTTTTAAATTGTATGTTTTTGTTTTTAAACCGTTTTTAATCACTTTTTATTATGTTGTTGTTTTAATGTACAGCACTTTGTATCAGCTGTGGTTGTTTTAAAGTGCTTTATAAATAAAGTTGGTATGGTATGGTAAAACTCTGCCGAGTTTAGTGGCACTCACTTTTATTTACTCAGTCGGTTTGTTTTTTGCTCTCTAAAACACCTGACAAGTTTATACACAAAAGTCATCTCAGTAACTCTGGCTGTATTTAAAGTGGCCCTAAAGTGCAAAATACTAAGATTTTGAACAGGACACATGCACAATAGAAAGACAAAGGCCAAACACCAGTTTTAGTGTTACTCCTATCTTTACATTTACTCCATGGCTCTTATTTTGAAAATGCAGGAATTGGAGATTAAATTGTGACATGATATCCTTCAATAAGTTATACAGATTGAATGTCAACATGTCTGTTTATGGTGTATAAAACTAGTAATCAAGCCTACGACAGACGTCAYTGTTTTTCCTCATTGAAATACAATACTAAATGTAACACACTGAAATAAATCAAACTCTATGTAACTATTGCTTTAGGCCAGTAAAAAAAGCAGTGTAATTGAGAAAATACTTACATTTTAGTTTTTTTATGGCAAGCACAGCTCACGCTTTAAAGTAAGCCCCTGAAAAWTCGACATTTTGAATTGTTAAAAAGCCCCTTCACAGTCTCATTACGTCACAAAATGGATTGGGACACTTTCCCCCCAAGCATGAATGYATAAGTAAGGTAAGGGAAAGGACTAAATTATAAGGAAAATGGGGGAAAAGAGGGTTCAGCCAGAGTCCATAAATATAGGAAGCCCCCCCACTGAAAATATATTTTCAAAAGTGCAAAATTCAACATTTCAATAAGACCTTTCTATAAAACAATGCTACAAAATAAAATGATTAAATGATAGAAAACCCATTAAGAACAACAAAAGCTCYTCTTTCTGTGAACTCCTTACATTTTGCCAGTTTAATTTACGTGTGTATTCTCCACCCGGTGACACTGTAACCTCCACTCATTCTGAGTACCTCTCGAGTGATAAGTCATCTTGAATCAATTACAARGACTATTAGCTCCATCTGAACCCTTCCCAAACTCTGCTCATTGTCATTTTGTGGAGCGTGCTACAAGGTTAATGCATAATTTGGCAGACTGGGATTAAAAACCTAAAAAAACAGACACAAATGATTATATTAAATGTTTAAACTCCTCATCAGTAGTTCAGAAGTGACTATAAGAGGAAGCTTGGATAAATTTGCTCACTGTTCAGATGAGCCAGTTTTTCTGGGGAGTCCTCATGWTCTGTAGGTGCAGGCATAAGTTAATTGTATTATATGGTGTTATGATAATTATTTTTCTGTTAAACTGGATGCCATTAAAACAGCTCGAGTCGGGGATGTGTTAGCTCTTCTCTAATTAATAGATTTCATTAATGTTATGTCTGGAAGAATTACTTCATTCATAGTTAATGCCTCTCTTCTGATTTAATCACTTCATGGCAGAGTCAATGCTGATAAATGCGATGCGCTCCATTGATTCTTGTAAACAGTCTCCATTCCAGCTGCATATCTTCAAATGCTTTCTTATTATTGTGCATGTGGAATAAAGACATGCCGACTAAATGCTTGTGTGTTATAGTTTAATACTGCCTCTGGCAAGTTGTAATGAAGTAGTTGATTTTATTAGAAGGGCTTTAATGTGGTGTAGCAATCCTATTTTTAGCTCCCTGCTGGAATGCTCGGATTTGATGGAGTTGCAGAGTGCTGAGTTTGCACCAGCAGCACTCAGCCTGAGATGGACTCATTGCGGCAGACTGTACGAGCAGTTTCTGCACGCAGACTCCAGAGCGGTGCTGCCTCTTGTGGAGGAAGAAAAATCACAACAAAGCCAGACTGTACTCTGTGAATGAATGAAGCACTGGCATTTGGAGCCATGCCCGGGACGAGAGATGCTTAGTCTGTGATTCTGCCTCGCTGAGCCCAAGTTACTCTCATGATTGATAGTCGGAGGCTGGTTCTCCATAATAAGGAGCTGGCCTACTTTTTTCCAAAGAGGCAGCCAGTGTTCCTGATGACCTAATGATGCAGAGAAACGGTTTTGATTTTACGGAAGGGTGGGACCGAATTTAAGACGATAACAAATAAAAAAAAAATTGGCCCAGATTGTTAAATAAACTTTACAGCAGCATGTTCTCTACTCACGGTTTGGTCCCGCAGGCTGTTTTTATTACTCCTAATGTGAAATCTCTTCTCCCACTCAGGGCTTTTTTCCTCGATCAGTCCAATGTGCCACCGAGCGCTGCTCCCAAAGCTGCCCTAATAGATAAGGTAAGTAAAATCAACCTTGTTCTACAATCACAATATCATACAATTAAGAATGTAAGATTTGATGACTCAACATGCATGAAAGTGTACGAGAATGCAAAATTGAAAAAGCATCAGGGTTTGAAAGAATTGACTTTTAGTTTTAAGGAGTGGAACTCGTTCTTTTATTAAAGTTCTCACTGAAAACCTCTATCGCATATAAACATAAAACTGAATTGATTGAGTAAATATTAAATCAATCTGAAAGAAGCCCTCGAGTGCTTTACAACCTTCAGGCATGTTTATTCTGAAAACCAGTTTTTCGCTGTCCTGCCCTGACGTTTCTGCCTTTGGTTGTGTCCAGTTAATGCGGCCCCTGAATGCTCTGGAGAAACTCTACCGTCTGATGGAGAGTTTCATCAGCTGCCGCCGCACTGCTGCCTGTCAGAACACCGCCTGCGGGGCCTCGGGAGTCGGGCTGCTCACTGTGGCTTCTGAGCTCTGCTCCCGTCTGGGGGCCACACACGTCGTCATGTGCAACAGCGGTGTTCATCGGTGAGTATACGGCATTTTAGATGTTATCCGACTCTCTTTGATTCACCTTCGTTTAAGTTACACATTACATTTTTCCCCCCTTTTTCATTTCTGCTGCAGAAGTGCTGCTCTCATCTTTACGGTTTTATACCAAAGTTTCTCCCTCCTTCAGTTCTTCTCGTTCCTCTCAGTTCAGAGGCTTTCTTTACATTCATTAACAGCARGCTTGTTCCTTTGATTTGAGCTCATTGTTTCTCAGTCTAAATTAAGGACTTTAAGTAGACAGGGTACTTAACAGAGGAAGGTGACAGGTCAATTACCGCCATGCTTATTGAATTCTATACACGGCAGCCTAATTCTCCTGCTGCTAAGGGCTCCATTCATCAGAGCATAAGGACAGAAATATCCTGATCGTTTGTCACCCCTGATTCCCAGTTCCTACTTTCATCTTCTTCTCTCCCTCCCACCCCACCCAAACATCTCTCCGATGCCCTCTTCCTTCACTCTGTGACAGTTTCCATATCTTTTTGTTTGAGTCACACACACACACACAGAGCCTCACACACCTGTTCGTCCATGCGTTCACTGTACATGACTGATTGCTTGATAAAGTGCTGCAGAGGGAGCCGCCCGCTCGCCTGAGCTCTGATAGAAAGTTCCTGTCTGGGCAATGAGTTCTCCTTCTTTATTAACCCACAATCTTCTGTGTGTATATCTCCCCGGGTGTGTCTCTGCAATTACACACGATGGCTACAATTCAGGTGAAGTGTACCATAATAGAGCAGGTGACAAGTACTCTCATATTTAGGGTTATTTKTGCACTGGCTTTCACCGTTAAACTCTGCTTCACCTTCAAAGGCTGCAGAATGAAGAGCGTGTTGCAGTCAAAATCATAAGAGAGTAAATCACAAATATTGGATCCTCACAGTCAGTCATAAACAATGGCAAACAAAGCTCTACAGCCAGTTTGAATTGATAGAACACAAATTCTGTGTTCAAAATGTAAAAATATTACTGTACACAGTGAGAGGAGTAAATGAAGCCATTTTTGGAAAGAGAAACGTTCTGTTGTTAAGCTTGGTGGGAGGCCTCAGTGTCTAATTGTCCCTCTCTTACAATGCTATTATTGCAAGTATGACTCAGCCCTCTGTGAACAATAGGGATAATCAGATTACCAATGATCAGATATTAGGTTGATGATCCTCTGTGAACAATAGGGATAATCAGAGCATTAATGATCAGTTATTAAGCTGATGGTCCTCTGTGAACAATAGGGATAATCAGAGTGCTAATGATCGGTTGTTAGGCTGATGGTCCTCTGAACAATAGGGATGATCTGAGTGCTAATGATCAGTTGTTAGGCCGATGGNGGATAATCAGAGTGCTAATGATCGGTTGTTAGGCTGATGGTCCTCTGAACAATAGGGATGATCTGAGTGCTAATGATCAGTTGTTAGGCCGATGGTCCTCTTTGAACAATATGGATAATCAGAGTGCTAATGATCGGTTGTTAGGCTGATGGTCCTCTATGAACAATAGGGATAATCAGAGTGCTAATGATTGTTTGTTAGGCTGATGGTTCACTGTGAACAATAGGGATAATCAGAGCACTAATGATCATTTGTTAGGCTGATGATCCTCTGTGAACAATAGGGATAATCAGAGCACTAATGATCATTTGTTAGGCTGATGGTCCTCAGTGAACAATAGGGATAATCAGAGTTTGTGTATTCCCAGTAAATCAGTTGTTAGGCTGATGGTCCTCTGTGAACAATAGGGATAATCACGGCATTAATGCTKGTCCTGTTTTGCATGTAAACAAACAGTTTTGATTGTGGTTTGCCCATCATGTGCAGGTACTGCTGAGGCCAAGGCTGAGTTTACTCATCAAACTGAAGGTCTCTCGGAGACAAGACAAAACATTTTCAAAACAGAAGAACTTGTCCAGAGGACTTGCTCAATGTTGTTTATTTTTAGATTTTTTTACGCGGACTATTGAGATGTATCAGGACATTACTGTACACAAATGATTCAACCAAACAAAACTGGAAATTTTTACCACAGGAATGATAAGATACCTGCCAATATTTGTTTTGAAATTCACATTTAGTTGTTTTACAGAGGTGTCAAGTAATGAAGTAGAAATACTCATGTATTTTATATGGTTATTTTTATCTTTACTGGAGTGATTTAGTTTTAAAGACAGTACTTTTACACATTTACTTGAGTAAAAAACTTGAGTTGATACTACTTCCAAAACCCCAATATCTGTACTTCTAGCATAATAAATGTTAATACTTTTGACACCTTTGCTGTTTTATAAACTTCTAAAAAATAGAGAGGCAGAGTTAAGATCAAGACAAAAAGTTAAATGTATGAAAGTTTATGAATGTGTTTTATTTTGATAAGGCAAATTAGTTTTCCAGTCATAAGCCACACCCACATATGCCAATCATCATTTGAAAAGRGAAACTCGGGAAATCCTCTTGAACAGGACTCTAATTTAGTATAAATTTGTTCCTTGAATTTTATGATGAAAACTACTCTTTGAATAACTTTTCTTGTTTTTACCTTGCTATGCAGATATTCAGTGTTATATAAACATTTATACAAACCAAACTTGAGCCCTAAAAGGAGTTATCAAAAGCAGGGCATGCATTTTTCACATTTTTTGCGGGGGGGTGGGGGGCTTCATCTTACTTCCAACTTGGACTTAACATTGTCATGCTGCGTTCCCCTTGCTTCTGCGGCTCGGACCCCTGAAGGGATGTAAATGGTGAGCACACAAACATCGTATTTAATAATTGAAAACCCAACAAACCAGAAGCACTTGATTAGTAATGTGATTATTGCTTTATTAGTGCTGCAGCCTTCTCAGGTTCTATAGATTGGGTTAGAAGCTTGATTGATGAGTTTTAATAACGGTGGAAGTGGGACGTTTTGTGGGGCATCAGCAGGTTGGAGTTTACTCTCTAATTGTTTTGTCCATCATTCTAAATTTGTCTGGCAGCAAATGTGAAAAAAAAACAAAAAAAGGGGAAAAAAATCCACCCCATTTTAAAGATCTAACTCTCCTTGCCTAGACTTTACTTTGGCTTTTATTATTTAAGAACTGTAGATGTAACTACTACTTACTTKCATGCCAACACTTTTTCCCTTTTCCTGTTTCTTTCTTTTATATGTCTTCTCATTTATCAATATGAGAACTCTGGAGAAATACAGACTGTAAATTGGAAATGTGTTGGAACGACACAAAACAGATGGGTATAAATCACCTCTTACTATCTCACCAGCCCTAATGAAACTGGAAACTATGCAGCTTCAGACACGGGGAGAGATTCTGTGCGGTTCCTTCATCCTGCTCCAGCTGACGAGATATTTAAAGATCCACTCGGGGTGGACCCCCCACCCCTCCTCCACTCCACCCCACTTTGCCAGTGTGTTAGAGCTCAGAATGGGTGCTTGAAATATTCTGGGGTGGCCTATATAAGGACATCTTTTGCAGCCCTTTGCTGTATTATCTCTCCGCACATTCTCCAGATGATTGGCGTGTTCATTACGTTTTATCGCATCGTGTCAGGCTGCCATAAAGTTATGCAACCCAAAACTGAGAAGACTTTTAAATCATGATCTAATTGACTTAAAGAAATGACTCCTGGCAGCAATAACTCCCCTACTGCACATTGTTCTCTCAATCAGTGTTAAATCCTACCATGAGAGTAGGAGATAATAACCAAACGGCTCAGATTTCTTTGTACCTCCATGCCAGTGTTATTAAATGAATGCCAACCCGGCAGCTTTGGAACTTTAGACAGCTTAATTTGTTGTGAAAAGACACCGGATCGATATACTAGTGCAGCTTGTTATCATAGAAAGGTCACCCAGCAGCCTTGACGCTTGTCACTTTCTCTAAAGATKTATCCATGTGCTGCTGTGTGTGTGTGCATCTTTGTTAGGGTGTGAAAGAGAAAACTGTGCTACAGATGCAAAGTTAGCTGTATCTAATGAATCACAGGCTGGTGTCAGCACATGTTTTACACACATCACTCACACTTCTGATGGAGAAAGCATATTGCGTCTGGCACAGGAGATTCACTGTCTTGTCCTTGGACCTTTATCCTCCTCGGCACAAGAAGCATCAATCTTGAAAGTCTCCTCAGGAGATGTCAGTCTGCTCCTGCTCAACCTGAAGCGACRTTTTCATCGCCCCGAAGCTGGGTTTTTTTTGGCCTGTTGTGACTGACGTTTCCCTGGACGTGAATGCTGGTGAAATGATTCATTAGTGAGATGAGCAAAGGCCAAACAGAYGGGACATGATGGTAACGACAAGGTGCAAAAGGACCCAAATGTGCTCAAAAAAATATGAGCCTGTTTAAACAAATGTGATCAGAGAAACAGCATACTGTTTGTGGACGAGGCTTTAGGATTCCTGTCGATGTTCATTTCAATCCAAAGATTTTGAAAAGCTGCCAAAAATAAAGTGGTATTGAGATTGTGAGTCGGATGCTTTTGCTTCAGATTCATTTGTTGTACCTAACGAGGATTTTAAAAATATGTTGAGGCATCAGAGAAAATAACAAAATACCATCATTGTGTGATGCTTGTAAAGCATTCACACATTTGTTTGATCCATACATTTTCTTGTTACGCAATRTTTGTGCTGTTTCAACAATTTAAATATCAAAACATTYAGCTCCTTTAGGATATTCTGGCTACGACCTTTGGTACTTCAGCAACGTATATTTTTTAAGATATTTAGCTTTTTCTTAATGAAAATGAATGAAGCTGTCTTCAGCATCCTTAAAATCCCATAAAATGTGCATAAATCTTTACTGCTCTTTCCACCTTTTGTTCTGGTTCTGCTTTTTTAACTTTTTGTGCTGATTTCAGCTTCCTTTGGCTGCTATTTTGCTGATTTCTGTCATTCTGACCTTTTCCGCTTTTCTTCTAATTTCAAACGTTTTTGTGCTGCTTTCAGCTGATTTAAACCTTTAATATTTCTTTTTCTGTCTGTCCGTCCATTTTCTTCCGCTTCTTTTGCTGTCTTTCTGCTAATTTCAGCTGTTATGTTTTTAGCTACAATTTTTGGCTTAATTCACTTTTTTGTGAAAATTTCTTCTTTTTAATGCTTTATTCAAACATGTTCTTTCTTTTGGTGCTTATTTTAGCTCTTTTGGCTACTTTTGACTTTTTTCTTCTAATTTAAGCAGTTTTACGTATTTTACAACAAATTTGAACTCTTTTGAACTCTTTTTCTTGTTTTCCTCCTAATGTGAGCTTTTTTACTCTCATTTCATCTTCTGTCTGTTGAAATGATGACCCATGTTAATTTTAAGGTCACAAATCAGCCATTTTTCCACTTGTTTTACATTCTTTGTCTAAATTTCAGCTATATTCTTCTTAATGTTTTAACAGTTTTGCTAATAAACAGTTTCAGCTTGACTTCAGCAGCTTCCAGCAAAAATCTTTCAGCATTCACACTACACTTAGTTTTCTCTTTTGTTATTGTTGTTTTCATTGCATTTGGTCATCACATAGGGTCAGTCTTTGATGAAGCTCCTTTGTGACCTCCACACATGCAGACAGATTGTGGCTTATGTTTTAGCCTAACCTTTTTGCATGTTTTTCCCTCCATATTTTGGTTGGATCAACAGCTGCACTCTGAGTGTGACACTGGAGCAGGCCATCCTGTTGGCCCGGAACCACGGCCTTCCGCCTCGCTGCATCATGCAGGCCACTGATGTCATGAGGAAACAGGTTGGTGTTTTGCATAWACTCATGTAAATTTCAACTGTTTAATGAACAATCTCTGCTATGAAGATACTAAATCTGTAGATAAGCATCAAAATCTTTTTGTAAAGCAGTTTCTTCTTTTAAAACTTTGGTAATTAAAAAAAAAGATTCTGCTGATAACTTTCCTGGGTCTTTTTTGTGGCTTAACTTGTGATGACAGTTCCTGTCATGAAGTGTATTTTTTAATTCACTGCCCCGTCTCTGTTTCTAGACAACTTGATTATATGAATTTCAAGCTCCGCTGATTAAAATCTAGGTGTAAATTCTTGTGGGGACAGGTGGTTTATAGTCCACTGCCTCCTCTCACACAACTCTTAAGTGTTTCTCTGAAACTCTCTCAGAGCCCCTGTAGGCTCCAGTCACTGACCACTTTGAGAAGGGCAACATAAAAATGACATTATTGGTCTTCAGAGCTTCTTTAACAGCTGTGCCTTCCTGTTACAAGAAATAGGAGGCATATTCATAACCAACAAAATGTTGGCAGAAAGTATTAGTGACTAAACAAACAAATACAAATCTGTAAACGGGGTGTTTTCATGGTTAAGGTGCGTACCACTTAGAACATTTCCCAACAACTTTGTGGTATGATTTTCTCCCATTAGCAGAAATTTCATGGCTCTACTCTTAGAAAGGCCCTCGTTGCTTTAGAAAAAAAAWATCCAAATATCCCTCAAAAAGTAAGATTGAGCATGACTGATTCAGACTTGTCTGAGTGTCTGTTTTGGGTCACAAACTAAATCTCCATCACTTAAGTCACCCCATAAAAGCCTCCAGCCATGACTGGAACTCAGCCTGCAGCTCAGACTCTTTTCTAGTGCCGTCACTGATGGTTATTTAGCTGCTTGCAGTGAGGAAGTTAGAGAAGACGCTGAGATTTTGCAGGACTAGTACAAGGTAAATGGGATTGCGGAGAAGAGGGAATAATTCAGTGTTGCATGCAAATCTGATCTTCGTGTGTGTGTGTGTGTGTGTGTGTGTGTGTGTGTGTGTGTGTGTGTGTGTGTG